CATAAATATGATATCACAGTTGGTACCCGTGAACCGAAAATAAATACAACATACATATGATATCACAGTTGGTACCCGTGAAACCTAAAATAAATACAAACATAAATATGATATCACAGTTGGTACCCGTGAAACCTAAAATAAATACAAACATAAATATGATATCACAGTTGGTACCCGTGAAACCTAAAATAAATACAAACATAAATATGATATCTCAGTTGGTACCCGTGAAACCTAAAATAAATACAAACATGCATGGTGAACTACGACAAGTCAAATCTCCTTTTAATAGTAGATAAGAGATTTAATTACAATTCCTATAAGACTTCAACTGTGTTCAAAACTTCGAGCCATCCATGTTTACTGAACATCCAAGTGTTAGGCTTCTCTTAAGAAATAGAGGGATTTGACTATCAATTTTATAGCACTGGTTGTGAATTCTTATACTAATACATTTACTGCTGTTCTAGATAAGAGTATCAAGAGTAAAAAGGTAAAAATAAAAATGCGAATAAGTTTTAGTAACACCGAGTTGCTTACTTTAACCAATGAACGAGCAATATGTGGAAAATATGACAGTGAATATTCGCGAGTCAAGACTCGTGGAGATATACCTTTTCTGCATATAAATTGTTACGTGGTTTTTAAAGTGGATTTAGACAGTGTGTTCAACATCCAGTTTTCTGTGAACTCCTCTTGCCATTATTTTTTTAATTCTATTTCGAGACGACTTTTCGGGTTTCTTGCTGGTCCCCAAACTATTTCGAAGTTAAGAAAAAAAAGGCAGAAGTCCATAGAAATCTCAGTTCACAAACCGTGCGTGCCGTAATAGAAACTACAAATGTTGTCGCCGACCAAGATAACAGAGGGAGTGAGGGGGCAGAAATATGTAATCTATCCCAAGCCTGTTAAACCAAGCCAACAAAAGCTTTCAGCCAGAGGGCGCTGAAGCACACAGGATGATTAGCTATCTCCAATCGCCCCCAGAACGCGTATTCTTACGATAAACATTTACCGAGTAATCTAATTCAGCGGTTATAAATCTTTCTTGGTTTCCATCATCGTACTCAAGAAAGAAAAATATAAGCTTCTGGGAAGCTGTGTTGATAAACTTTCTAGCAAGAGCTTCTTTATTCAAACGTAGCCTTTAGCTCAATGTTCATTGCACGAATTCTATGTATAGGCTACACTTACACCACCTGCAGGGTTATAAAATAATAAAAAAATAAACATTGATATTTTGTTGAAGGATGAACCGAATATTTAAATATTGAAAGCAGAGGCACAAAACTTTGCAAGGTTCCTTGCCACTATACCAGGTCATTTTCTTACATTAGATAAAAATAATTTATCAGTTATAATGCAATCATAAAATAGAATAAATATATTCTAATAATACCATTTTTACAAACGGATAAGTGCTTTGTGTGTGGAATCGACTTTACATTTAAATAAATGTATTCCTTCTGAAAAATACTTGATATTTAATGTTTGCTACTATTAGTTATTCTATGCATCTTTGGAGATCTAATTATTGCTACTATATACGTCGCTATTTACTCTAGATATTGTTATATCACTGTACACATTTAATTATCTTGTTAATGTTACGTCGTTACTGTTCACTCTACACATTAATGATTTAGTTAATGTTACGTCGTCATTGTTCACTCTACACATTAATGATTTTGTTAATGTTACGTCGCCATTGTTCACTCTACACATTAATGATTTTGTTAATGTTACGTCGTCATTGTTCACTCTACACATTAATGATTTAGTTAATGTTACGTCGTCATTGTTCACTCTACACATTAATGATCTAGCTAATGTTACGTCATTTTTTTATTTTACACGTTAGTGTCGTATTTTATTGTTATTTTCCTGTTTATTGTACATACTGATAACCTATTATTATGTTGATGTTTGTTACACAGATTATTGACGTAATTATTGTTATGTTACCATTTATTCTACGTGCTGATTACATGGCTGTAGAATTATGTCAGTTTTACTGTCTACAGTAATATTATTTTATTGTTATGCCGAGATTTATTATACACATTGATGTCCCATTGTTTTATCATTCTTCATCATACATATAAATACCAATTCAGCTGTTTTATCACTGTTCAACTGTGAAGACTTATTTAAGACACATCTGTTATAATGAGACATCCAGGTGGTGGCGCTCGTGGTCCTTACCTGGAAGACACGAGCACTGGTAGTCCAAAGTGTCAATCGACTTACAGGATCCTCCATTCTGACAGGGACTGGGATCACAAGGGATATATTTGGATTCACACTTCTGACCAGTGTAGCCAACTTTACAAATACACCTGAGAAAAAGTAAAATAATTAAAAGTTACAGTGAAAAAAAGTATTATTTAAATTGGGATGTTTACAAATTAACGCGCTGATGTAACACGTAATGTGACAGTGAACGAATAAAACAGAATAACATATGATATTTTCAAACTGATAGTCCTGATCCACGTAACTAACCTTATGTAAATACGTGTAAACTGTAAAATACGTTACTAGAAAGACACGTAAACTGTAAAATACATTACTAGAAATACACGTAAACTACAAAATACATTACTAGAAATACGCGTAAACTACAAAATACATTACTAGAAATACACCTGCATTGTAAAATACATTTCTACAAGTACGAATAAACTGTAAAGTACATTGCTAGAAACACGCATAAACTGTAAAATACGTTACTAGAAATACACGTAAACTGTAAAATACATTACTAGAAATACGCGTAAACTACAAAATACATTACTAGAAATACACCGTACATTGTAAAATACATTGCTAGAAATACGTGTAAACTGTAAAATATATTACTAGAAATACACGTACATTGTTAATAAAGCTGAGTAACGGAAAAAGCCTTCTGATTTTCTAACCGCCAGTGATGGGTCCGTGTAATTAAAATTATGACAAACATGTAAATCGTACAAACTGTGATGTTATTCTGAACGTTCGTGGCTGTGTAAAATTCGAAACGAGTACATAGCTATGCTTGGATTTTTTTTTCCAAATAAAAAGAATCAAAATGTGTTATATGATTTTGAAAAGCAACTTTACCTTGAAACGTAAACTTAAAACAGGATACAGAGACAGAGTAGTGTTAACATTTTCAAAAGATGAAAAAATCCAAGAGATATATGGTCTTGAAACAAGTTTTATTTCAAACAAAAAAACAATAAACGTTATTTTTTTCATCACTACAGACACTAAGCTTAAGTTTTCAGGTTGGATAATCCCCCCCCCAAAAAAAAAGTTTCTCTGACTTTTTCAGGCAAAATTCCAGATATTCCAAACCTATATACGCGTTTGTACAAAACACGGGTATTTCGACTTTTCGTCATACTTCTATCTCATTAACACCACTTTAGCCTGTAATATGATTTAAAAGATTTATCAAAAACTTCAGAACATACTCGCCGATGGCTCAGCTATAATTCTGCGGACTTACAACGCTAGAAACCGGGTTTCGATACCCGTAGTGGGCAGAGCACAGATAGCCCATTGTGTAGCACCATAGAAATAAATCGGTATTACAACAAAAACATTGCAACTTGATGGTAGACAGGAAAATGTAGAATTTATACTCATAAAAGGACATTTAACCCAACTTATCATCATATATATAATGACCAGGATAATTACCACAAGATAAAATAAGATAAGAATGACTCACCAAGATTATGTGTTAAAATATACCAATAACTGTCATAGTTATGCAGCATGATTAGCAGCATGCACGTACAGGTTCTGAGTTTTTAGAAAAAATATATGAATAACTTTTAAATGTTCCGTGACTTTTTGGTTCACTTTCAAATTCCCTGACTTTACAAAGCTCCAAACATTTTAACAAGTCTGCTAACAAGTGGTTTGGGTGTTCGACTCGCAATCTGAGGGTCGCGGGTTCGAATCCCCGTCCCACCAAACATGCTCGTGGGGGCGTTATAATGTTACGGTCTACTATTGGTAAAAGACTAGCTGCCTTCCCTCTAGTCTTACAATGCTAAATTAGGGACGGCTAACGCAGATAGCCCTCATGTAGCTTTGCACGAAATTCAAAACAAACTAATCCCTACTTTACGTTAATGCATTCAAATAAGAAAAACATCCCCAAAGAAAAAATCTTGTCTAAGGCCCTGCTGATAACATGACAAATTAGAACTCTACAAACAAGAACAATACAATCCTGAAATATCAGGAAAAGTCTTATCAAGCTTTTATATATAATATATATATATATTATATAATGAAGACCATTGCCTTGAACAAATTAAACAAGTTTCGATAATTTTGTGCTTTTAAATCGGGACAAAGGGAATGGAGTTGTTATAAATAAGATTACTTTGATAAAGTCTATGCCATTTTAAATTATTCCAGTAAGGCTAAATTGTTAGATAAAGATCCCACCAAAGAAACTGAAAATAAACTTTAAAGACTCCTATCAAGACTAAAGAAATACAATGTTAATTTCGACCAAGTATACTTTACCTGTAAGAGCCGACATTATTCATACACTTGCCGTGAACACAGGGATCTTTTCGACATTCGTCGACATCACGTGTGCACGTGCGCCCTGTGAACCCCTGGGCACAGGTGCAGCGGTAGGAATCCCGTAAAGACTGGCAGGAGGCGCCGTTTCGACAAGGTTGAGAAGCACAATGATCCACTAGTTCACAGTGGTTACCTAAAAAAAGAAAAAAGAAAAAGCCAAATGTTGAAGTTCTGATTTTTATTAAGACATTCAGGTATCAAACAAAGACATCAACAACCACCTCTGTGGTTTAAAAACCTCGTGAAACCGATGGTGGCCCACTTCTTAACGCTCTTAGGGTGAAAGTCAGTCTCTGTAGAATACACTGACGGATACTTATTTTATGTCTGGCTAGTACAATAGGTTTTTTTTTTGGCATCTTTGTACTACCGACTTCGTTTACTGTTTGATTTTTATGTAAAATGTTAATATACGTATATATATATTACGTTTATTTTCATTAAGTTATAAAGCGATCCAACTTATCTTTGATCACCTCTGTCTTACTTACGTGATATCCTTTTAAGATTTGCTCTATTTCACAATTTCAAATAAGAAATATTTGAACCATAACTGTCCCTAATTTTGAGCAGCACTATCCGCCAACTCTTGGGCTACCCTTGTTCGATTTAATAGTGGGATTTGCTGTCATTATTATGGTGCACCTACGGTTCCAAAAAAGCGAGTTTTTTGAGACTTCGAGTCGCGAGCCTTAGATCATCGGATTCATAGAGCGAGCACGCTAATCACTCGATCACATCCTGTCCATCTGATTGTGATACACATTTTCTGAAGTTCGGTTTAGATATACGAAATCTAATAAAAACTTTGAAAATTGACCACGACCATCAAATTTGTGATATTGTCTGGGCGCTTATTAGTTGGATAAATTCCTCAAATTTGATAATAATCCCCTCAGTGGTTTCGCGGTAAGTCTGAGGGCTTATAACGCCAAAAACGGGGTTTGGATACCTGTGATTGGCACACCACAGTCAGCCCATTATGTAGCTTTGCGCTTAACAACAAACAGACTTGACAATAAACTCCTCGCTGTTTGACCACTCTGGCAAGTCCCCAGTGGGTCAGCGATAAGTTTACGAACTTACAACTCTAAAATCCCGGGTTCGATTACCAGTGGTGGACAGGGCATAGAGAGCCTATTGTGTAGCTTAGCGCTAAAACAAATAAATACCCAGCCGTGTGGTAACGGAAAGGTCTCTTTTGACGTAACAAGGATTTTTATCAGTTTTTACGCGTAGTGTCTAGCATAAATTGATGCTGTTTTCTTTTAATTATTAACTTATCCATCACACTTCCTCAAACATAATTAACATCCACCTACCAGATGGTACTAATTTACACAGTGCGAGCAGCGTATTAGATTCGATTTTTCAAAAAGTTGAAAGGAAGTTCCCCGTGTCCCCTTTGTTTGTGTAGTAAGAAGTAGTAATAACAAGTGGTACGAATCAGTTGACTAGTAAAAGGATTTGGTTTCAATAAATCGCACTAAGTATCTAAGGCTACTGGTGACTTATGGGTTCCGGCTTACAGCAGTAGAGATAACTTATTGAAACATACTTAAAGCTTGAGCGCTTCTAGTTGGTCTAGAAACCAGATACTTAAATAGCACCATTCAAGTCAAAATACTATCGTGTAATTAACTCGTATAACTAGCCCTTGTTCGTTAACGATGCAAACATAAGTAAAATTATTTTAGCTCTGGTATCATATAGATGTTCTGCCGTTGAATTCTTAAAATGTTATGTGCTCTTAATAAAAAAAATAACCACAATGGGAAAAAAGATGCTTAATAGTTGGTTAGAAGATTTAAAAGTCAACGTAAAAGAGTGAAAATATAAAACGATAAAAACCCTATAACCCTTCAGGACCCTGAAGAAGAAAGGTCCTCCTTTCGAAAGCGCAAGGGTTATGAGGTTTTTATCGTTATATATTGAGACTTCTTGAAGCTACGTGTTTTTCTGACATCATGGATAAAGAATGAAATTATACCATTCAGTAGGTGGCTACAAGGTTTATAACCACTATAAAGAATGAAAATATACCATTCAGTAGGTGGCTACAAGGTTTATAACCACTATAAAGAATAAAAATATACCATTCAGTAGGTGGCTACAAGGTTTATAACCACTATAAAGAATGAAAATATACCATTCAGTAGGTGGCTACAAGGTTTATAACCCATTATAAAGAATTAAAATATACCATTCAGTAGGTGGCTACAAGATTTATAACCATTATAAAGAATGAAAAATATACCATTCAGGAGGTGGCTACAAGGTTTATAACCATTATAAAGAATGAAAATATACCATTCAGGAGGTGGCTACAAGGTTTATAACCACTATAAAGAATGAAAATATACCATTCAGGAGGTGGCTACAAGGTTTATAACCATTATAAAGAATGGTGGTTATAAACCTTGTAGCCACCTACTGAATGGTATATTTTTTTATAATTGTTTTAAGCCTTGTAGCCAACTATTGAATGACATGTTTTTACCCTTTATAATTGTTTTAAGCCTTGTAGCCACCTTCTGACTGTATATTTTCATTCTTTATAGTGGTTATAAACCTTGTAGCCACCTACTGAATGGTATATTTTCATTCTTTACAATCGAGAGAAAAGACAGTAAGGTTAGTTTTAATATTGGTCTGACAAGACTGTGATTTAGTTACTATTGGTCTGAAAAGACAGTATGATGTAAGTAATATTGATCTTACATGACCGTAGGGTTTATGTAATACTGGTCTAAAAAGACAGTAATATACTTTATTATTCGATAATAAATCGTCAGTTACAGCTTAGCCATTCTTAAGTCATTAAAGAATAGTATGAAAAAATGGCGTCTTAATAATCTTCTTAACGTCCTAATTACGCTGTTTATTTTTCTTTTCTAATTAAAATCCAGTCGATGATTAACTACTCCAAGCTAAGATGTCATAAACTGCTTTGATGATTAGCTGTGATAAATAATTATTCGTGATGTGTTTTCATCCCAGGGCTAACTTTCAACAGATTTATTCACGACCTTCTTGTTTGTTTTTGTTTGATGTATGGGATGATGGATTAAAACGTAAGTTTCGACAATAATACACTAGTACAGCGTGCAAGATAAGTCTTGAAATAACACATTAAGATGTTACTGTGATAGCCGCCAGGTGGTGTACGATCTACACGGCAGCTGTTGATTACACCATTAAATATAATCCGTGTAAATTAGTAGTTTTGATGCGTGGGACGGGGGTCATGTAACTGATTTAAAGGTTGCTTCCTGACGAAAAAAAAAATGACACAGCTGCATCTCAGCTCAGATTGGTAAACAGATGTAATACTGAGTTTGAGTAGCAGAAACGTTATCATCATCAAATGTACGAAAAGACCAGACTAGAAAGTTTGATTTAGGGATTTTTAACCCTTGTATTTGAAAAGCAAAACGACATAGACCTGTGGTAATAATAATACAAAAAAATATGTCTAATCACATACTTTTGAATTTCGACAAAAAATAACGAGACAAAGATTTGAAATTAAATGTTTCACAGAATGAAGAAAAAGTGGAAAATAATTTCACGAATCTCTACAAAACATGAACTCAGATTCGTGAATCTTTCAAACAAGTATACAAAATAACGAAGTTTATTTACTACACGGTGGAGGCGATGAACATTTAAATTAATAAAATGTGTGTTTTATTTCCTAAGCGATGGTGCCGTTACATTCAATAACTAAGGCGATGAACATTTAAATTAATAAAATGTGTGTTTTATTTCCTAAGCGATGGTGCCGTTACATTCAATAACTAAGGCGATGA